GGACCTTCTGTTGACCTCTCATCCGGACACATATCAGGTCTCCGTCGACGCCCCTCTTGGTTCTTTGGACCATTGTCTACTCCGGAGTGTGGTGCCACTCACGCTGAAATCGCGGTTGCTTTCTGCAAGTTGCCACCGTGTTTGGCACTATAGGTCGGCCGATTGGGATGGGATATGGTCTTTCTTTGCATCCTACCCTTGGGGGCGGTTTTACCTCTCGCCTGACGATCCCAACGTTGTTGCTAATTCTGTTGCCGATGTGGTACTTCAGGTTATGGACCTTTTTATACCTTCCTCTGTGGCGCCCATCGGAGGCAGATCTCAGCCATAATTTAGTCGCTACTGTAAAATAGCATCACGCTACAAGCAGGAATGCTACCAGGCTTGGGCTGATGCATCAACGGTCAGGAATGTAAACACCAGCGCCCTTAAAAACAAGGATAATTCCGCCTCCAGGTCCTTCAAATGAGTCATTGCCGAGGTAAAGTCAGTGGACATAGGCAGAATTGGCGAGAAACTAGTTTGCCTTCCTTCGGGAACCCGTGCATTCTGGTCTCTCGCCAAGGCTGTTCAAGGGACCTTCTGTCAGCCATCTCTTCCATCTCTGCACAGGGAGGATGACTCACTGGCCCATGCCGCAAAGGAGAAAGCTGATCAACTCTCGATGCGGGGGTAACATATCGCCGACCATCCTGCGGTGTGAGTGCTCCACGGGGATGTGCGGTTCACACAGCGCTCGGTTCGCAAAGCACTCCTCTCCCTGGACATCCACAAGTAGAGCGGGCCTGACGGTATCCCCCCAATTGTGCTGACGACGTGTGCTCCGGAGTTGCCACCGGTTGTAACGCGTCTTTTCTGGTACTCCTACTCCTTAGGCGTAGTCCCAAAATCATGGAAGACATCTTTTGTCCACCCGATCCCTAAAAAAGTCGACTGCTCAGACCCGTCTAACTACAGGCCTGTTCTCCAAAATAATGGATTCCATTATAAACTGCCAGCTCATGCGATACCTTGAGGATCACCAGCTGATTAGTGACCGCCAATACGGTTTTCGTCAGGGTCGATCAGCTGGTGATCTTCTGGTCTACCTGACTCATAGATGGGCGGAAGCAGTAGAGTCCAAGAGGGTGGTATTGGCCATTAGCTTGGACATTGCAAAGGCCTTCGATCGGGTTTGGCACAAAGCGCTTCTTTCGAAGCTCCCTTCCTATGGGCTTCCTGAAAAATTGTGCGCTGTAGCCGACATCCAGAAATCACCCGTGCCAAACCGTGGCGGATCGCTAGCATAATGTTATATTATATTAATCCTTGATTGGTTATTTGATTTATTTCTTTTCAATGATTTTTTTTAAAACAGTTTGCAATTAATGCATGTATAAGATTTTTAAATGATAGCCACATTTTATCTACTTGGTTAGCTATATTAAAGTTTTCTGCTAAATTTTTTCGATTCCACAAGGAAGTTGTGCGAGGGAGAAAACTTCTTCTAAATCGCACATGTTTATTTTGCTACATGTTTATTTTGTTTATGTTTATGTTGCATTGTTTATTTTGCTATAGTAAGCTTTATAAAAAAAAAACTTTTACAGTTTTAGCCACTTTATTATTGATATTAATTATTTGCATAGAACCCGGTATGAGCGAATAATCACTCTTTCCGATATGTGGAAGATACTTAACAGCAGTTATGAAAGTTTCATTATTACAAATTATAAGATCTAGTAAAGATACTTCATCGTTATGTTTCCTTGTGATTTGTGTTACAAGCTGATTAAGATTACTATTTGAATACATTGCTACAAACCTATCCCATAGTTTGTCATGTCCGATTAAAGGAGAGACTATTTTTTATTTTGTAAGTTGAAATCACCTGCAATAGTTACAGTCTGCTTTGAAGCTGTCTTTTCTATAGTGTTAAATAATCTCTCATCAAAACAAAATTAAATCTTAATATCCATAGCATACATCTTACCAAAACGCTTCAACCAATGAGTTACTTATAATATAATTTATTCACTTAGGATATAACAGGTACATTGTTAATGTCATGTGCACCTTTTCTTTCTCTTCTGTCCAACCGAATTAGTATATATCCGTTTATTATAAGACTGTCATCAATTCCAGAATGTAAATGGGTTTCTGATATCAAAATAAAAGCAGGTTTATGTATATTAATTTCAAGAAGAAACAAATCAGTTTTCAGTCATAATGGAAGGCAAATTGATGTATAGGATGCGGAGTTCTGTAATGTTCTGGTGAGCTAGTTCTTATAACCTTTGATATGTTATTGGTGTGTTTGATCGTAAGATTTTCCTCGCCTTTTTCTGTTCTAACAACTAGTTCTTCACGACGTTTCTTAAATTGATCTCTTTGTATGGTGTCATATCAGCCTTAAAACCTTAAATAGAGTGTGGCAGTGACATAATAGTTTTAAAAACCTGGTCTTATCGTGATTTTTCCTGTCTTCTAGTGAATTTGCTTAAGATTTAGGTATTCAAAAGACAATAAAATTAGGACTACGGTTTTTTCATTCTGTATTTGATTTATCGCTGTACCCAAATTCACTATGTTTATCTGATTTGTTTTTAACTCTTGAATCTGCTGTTGGAGTTATGTAACAAGTCTGAGAAGTTCTGGAATCTGCCTTAGCTCCTACTCGCATTCATCATAAAGTAAAATAATCTCTGAGGTTAGTGAACTTTTTGTTATTTTTAAAGAGTAGATAATACCTATTACTTTCGCAGTTGTGCTACATAAATTTCAACCAGATCTAATGATAACTGAAATTCAATCTATTTGAAATACAATTTAGATAGATAGTCTCGTTTCAGCTGAGTACGTATTTTTTGCATAATTTCAAATAATTTTATGGCCAATAATACGAAAATTGAATGTAACATAAAATTAGGGGAATAGCACAACGCATACAAATATATGTGCAAAATAAATGTGTAAGTAATATTATTCCATAAAAGTAAGTTCTTAAAAAAAAATTTCGTTATTTGATTTAATATTGAGGAGCTCAACCATACAGTAGTGTTCTAGCGAACACTTATTTGTGACGTCACCCTACCGGTAGCTGGCAAGGGTTCGTTGTTTTCTTTGACCTACTTCAGATGTAGGTATGTGGTATGAAAACTACGCCCCTTGCTTTCACCTCGACTAGGAAACGGAAATGTTAAATGTTGTGTCGTTATAACATAAATAGTTTTAAAATAAATCACTTTGACCATTCAGAAAGACATTTAACGTACGTATCTACTCTACTTACCAACTTTGATTATATGTGCATAATACATTTTCTATCATATATCATCAATATAATCAAATGTCACCAATTACTAATAAAAATGTATACATTAAGTGTTATTGAACTATTGATTTTATTAAAAATATATAAAAGCTTCAGCGAGTATATTGATCCTAGGAACTCACAGTATCAGGTACAGTAATAATTGGTACTAGGGTTACTGAGAATAGTATAAGTCGATAAATAATTGTAAACACAGTTTTAAACAGGGTTTGCTGGAATAAATATATTAGTGGGTAAGTATCATATATCACATATAATGACGAAATATATGTTATAATTAATTACCAGGGTATGCCAGAAGCTAAGCGCTCAACGTAAATTTGACGCGAGGAATTTCAATTGATTCCCACCGGGACTACCACGCACTCGGTGGTGAAGGAAAACATCGTGAGAAAACCTGCACGTGTTGGAAATTAAAAAAATATATTTTGAAATATGTGAAGTCTGCCAACGCGTACGCGGGCATCGCGATTGACTCCTTGTCCTAAAACCCTATCAGAAATGAGAGGCCTGCGCCCAGCCGTGGAACGTATTTAGGCTGTAAATTCTAACTTTAATTAAGTATTAATTAAACTACCTTAAATTTTTTACCTGTACTGAGAGGTATATGATACGATATCTATACCTACATATAATAAAAAAGTAAATTGCAGGTGTCTGCACATTTAAACAAATTTAACATAATAGATATCGGATTTCAATGAACTATAACTTTAAAAATTTAAATCGATATCTACAATATAAATTTCGCATTTTTAGTGGTAGGTGTAATATTTTCAAGTAATCAAATCGTATATTATAGCATATAGCAGACATTTATTAAACCATTAATATGTGAAAGCTCTAGGGACATATTGCAAATTGAAGAAGAAGTATAACAAGCTGCATTAGCTCTAAGGACAAGAGTTCAATCAGATTTTTGCAAATGTTCGCGTATTGTTGACATTCTCTCTTTAATAGTATTTTTAACTCGGTCCATATTGTACAAAGGCGCGGATTTACTTTCATTATTGTATCATTCTTATTCATCAAGTGAGCTCGGCTCTAGTGAAGTCAATGTAACTTTCAACGGAATATATTTACACGCTCTCTATTTTGCGTTGCAACGTATCAAACATAAACAAAGAAATTAAAATTACCCTAATTTTTTGAACATTAACAACGAACGCGGCTATTGACCTAGAATGTAAATGAGAAAAATGCCTCATTTTCCGCGGTCACTTAAAACAAACGTTACCATAACTACAATATCGACCGCCGGCTTTTCCGAGGCTTTCTTCTGAAGCACTCACATTTGCGTGACACGCGCTGAAACAAGGACTAAATGTCTAGACGTCGAGACAGTTGTACTTTACCGTTCATTGCGATCAGTGTTATCGCAGCACACGTAATAATGTGGGAGCGGTCGATGTAGACAAAGTGCCGTTATATGGAAAAATAATACATTGTTATCCGTGGGATTTTGAATTGCATAGTAGAACCGCGATGTGCCAGTCCAACAATCTCGGACAATGAGTGCACGCGAGAGACGAAGCGAGACGCGCGACCGGCGATGCGCAAGCGGCCGTTTTTAATAACCACTCTGGATCACTCATTAGCCGGTGCACAGTAAATGCGCTGCGGTTGAAGGGAACGCAGGGCGTGTGCGATACGGGACCTTAGAAAGTGTAATGTATAGTGCAGTGCGATGCTGTCGGTGAGCAAGCCGACGTCCTTAGTCCAGCAGAAGAAACAGCAGTGGGCGCGGGAGAGAGGTGCGTACAGCGTACTGCGTCCGGTCAGAACGAGCGTGCTCCGGCCGCCGATGCGCGCTCACTGCATCACCTTAAAAGTTTTGCAACACCTCACGGTCACACTTTAGTGAAGTTTTGCGTCCCGCCACCGCACCGTGACAGATAGGTCTACCAGTATCTGTACAAAACACGTGAAGTTGATTTTTTAACGGATTTTGAAATATTAATCTGGTGTCGGTATGTAAACGCCAATTTATCTGTTTTAAAAGCTTTTCGTAATATGCGATTTATTCTTTAATTGTTTTAATTACATATTGTTATTTATTCTCTAATTATTTTAACCTAACACGAAAATTATAACATTACATTTAATAATTTTTTGGTGTAACTTTGGACCAATTGAGACGGTAAACGTGATTAATTAACGACTTTTGTAGTGAAGGCATTCATAATAAATAATTATTTTGCTCGCTCATCTTGAAAATTTATATAAGCATCATGTAGCTAGAAATGCATACAGTGATATTATGTTGAATATTTTTATTAAGGCCTTCTTGTAGTACGGTGTGTATGTATATTATGAAAACGTCACTTCGCTCCCCGAGCCTGTCGAGCGAATTGGTATTAAAGCGAGAAAAAAAAAGAAAAAGTCATGCACTGCTTTGATAGCACTAATAAAATACCGGTTAGTATGTATAGCTTAATTTGCGATTTGGTATGATTAGGTACCATTAATCATGATTCGTTCTTCTGTCTTCACACAACCCTTTCCGTATGTTTAATTTTTTTAAATGATTTTGTTTTTGTACTATAATTACATTTAAGTAGATACATAAATAATGATTTCTTATATTTGCCCGATTGCTACACTTGGAATAAAATTAATTATACATATTTTAACTTTTTTAATTCCCAATGTTTTACTGCTGTGAATCACCGACGCTCCGGTAAGTCTGCAGTTTGTAAACATTTTCAGCTATTGAAATTAAAAAAAAAACATCCTAACTTCAATAGAGAAAATGGCTGGGTGCTACCATTTGCTTGGAATCCCATCATTAATAAAATTAAATCTAAGCTTACTTTAGTTTTACGTTAATATACTAACTACTATTACTGTTCGTAGCCTACGACATCAGGACGTCAAACACTGCCCCCCCCCCCCCCTTCAATATTCAACGCCATAAAATCAGTAAAATTACTTCTATTCCATATAATATAATTATATCACAGAGCTTCAAAAATTTTTAAAAATACTGCAACGTCGCCTTAACGCAAAACGTGCCTTGTTACTATAAACATCTAACATGTGATTTAGGAACAGAAATTCGTGCAATTATTTTATGCAACAATGTGTCTGTTAGACTTTAACAATTTTATTTAAAGTATTTAAACATAATAGAAAATAATATGATGATGACGTGTAAGAAAGGGGGAATTCTAAGAAACCTTATCTGCACGTGGGCCTTCCTGATAATAGTCAGATGTAGTTTTTTTTTGTTATAGGATAGGGTGACAAACGAGCACACAGTTCACCTGATGGTAAGTGGTTGCTGTGACCCATAGACATCCACATCTATCCTCACTAAAGAATCAAAATGCAGATGCGTTGTCACCCGTGAGGACTAAGATGGAATGCCTCTTTACCAGTAAAAAGGGTCGCCGGTTCTCTACACTTACCATAAGAAACACAGCAGTGTTAAGCTGCTATTTTACGCTGGTATTCTGTGAGAGAGTGGTCCTTCCCCGATCTAGTCGACCCATTCGTGTTACAATTATACTATTAATATAGCTGTAGCATGTCTCTACCACGTACAAAAGTAGTGTCGGCAATAGTTCTGGCAATCAACTGATGGAGAAAAATGTATGCAAAAATACCGAACCCAAAATTTGACAGACTAGGAGCACATTGGCATAGTAATCAATGAGAGCATGGCCCCGCTTGCTACTCCACTGTCGACGCCATCATGGGGTATACTGCACTGTAATACCAATTTTTGTGTAACAATAAGTTGTTGGTTTATGGATATAGAGACACGCTTTTTTAAACAAGTAAGAGCAGCACTCAAGAATATTCGATCACCAAGCATAGGTAATTGGTTAATGTGGTCCTTAGATACTTTAGATACATCGGTCTTTGATTAAAAATTAAAATGCAAATGAGTTGTAGTTAGTTACCTTTGAAGTCTAAGATAGTGTTGCGCGCCACAATTAATACCACTAGCGCCCTCTATTTTGGTAACAAACTCGGCAGTTTTTAACTGTCTCGAACCTCAAGCTCGTAACAATAAAATGTCTCGTTACCCGTAAGGAGGGTCTTCGTTCTTCACCGATCGCTCCAGTTGATTGTTGTGATTGATAGTGCTGCAGCCATAAAACCCACAGCTGTAGCGTGGCGCTACCACTTAAGAACTTTTTTTTAACATATTATACCTTGGTATGAACCCATCCCATTAGCGTTACATCGAACACAAGCAATTGAGGACAAGTGCCTTTTGTATTTGTGCGCTCAATTGAGGCCCTATTACATTACCTGTCCAGATAACTTCCGATTGCAATTTTGTGGTCATTGTCATCATTCGCCTTAATTGGATATTTAGTTAATTTTTTTTATTTAATTCCTATACTGTTCCTGTTAACTCTTGAAATATATGGGAAAAATTGGCCAAGGGGTGTATTTTTTTATAATTGTCCATTGTGTTATATTATTTAAAATGTAGGTGGTGATTACATGAAATGCTACTTTTAGGCTGGACTCACACATCCGGAATGTCTCTCTGATCTAAATTCATGTTATTAGTTAAGAAAGGGCTCGGATTGCATACAATTTAACTATGCTCCACAGTCCATACACATTCTGATTTTCTCAGTTCGATCTGTAAGAATGAAACTGACGAGCGTTTTGAATTCCGAACCTTAATATTAAAAGTTAAGATTTCATAACGCGCGTTTTTTTTATATACATTATATACAATTGAGCACAGGCACACATCGGAATCAGATTATGAATTATTTCATTTGACACTGCGAGCGGTAACGGCTAGACGTGCTGCGACTTGTGAAGTTGTAATGTAGAACTGACTTTCTCTTACTCTGTTCATATTAAGAGGATGAATCCAGTGTATTCGTTTGCGTCTCTTTTTTAGAGTTCCGTACCCAAGGATTAACCAAAGGGACCCTATTACTAAGCCTCCACTGTCCGTCCGTCTCTCTGCCAGCGCGCTGTGTCTCATGATCCGTAATAGGTAGACAGTTCAAATTTTCACAGAATGTGTATTAAAGGGAACTCCCCTACTAGGAACGTGTATTACGATGGTACGGAATCCTTCATGCGCGAGTTCGACTCGCACTTGGCCGGTTATTTTATTGTTTAAATCTAAAAGTAGTGCGATGAGTATTATTATAATATATCCCTCTTCCATATCCGAGACATGTGCCTAAGCTAAGAAACACGAGACTACTGATTTATCTGAATTTTTTAGATATGTGTGAGGCAACTGGCTGGAATTCATAATTTGAATTCAGACTGAATTCAGAGAGGCATTCCGTATGTGTGAGTCCAGCCTTAAACTTACCCACATTTTGTAATAAGACGGTGTATCCTGACAACTAAAGTGAATTGTAGAAGGTGAAAAGTGGTTAAAAATGTAACATCGGCTTATTATTTTTAACTATGTATTTACAAAGGCCTATGTAATGATAGAGAAGGTTGCCTATATAGGGAAGAACATAATACATGTTGGCTTGGTAATATTAAAAATTAAAAAAGAATAAAGTTTGTTATTGTGACACATTAGTTAGGTATAATTGTGCTCTAAGATTAGGAGAAATGAACTGAACGAATGTGTAAGGGTCCATTAGTATGATAGCGGAGTCATTAAAAGAACATTTACTAATAAAAAAAAACTATTGATGTGGCGATTGATGGATCAATAACTACTTAGTGTTATTTAAAGAGTGTCGGGTCTCTGCCGCTCGATTAACAACTACGCACCCGTGAACCTTCCATTAAAGTCCGAAAGCAATGAACTCTTCTATTAAAATCAAACACCAAATTGTAGAAGTATTGGTTGTGTATATAAAATAAATTGTTTTAAACTAAAATCGATTCAATTTGTTATCAGTATACGAATAACTTAACACTAACTATTTTAAAAGTGGAGGCAGTTTACATACATAAATTTCACAATGATAAACATTCAGGACCCGGAACAATTATTTGCAGGCCTTATAAAATACTTGTAACGTACGGTATTCGATGCCGCTGCTCTTAGTACCTGCAACTTATTGCCAAGCCACACGGAGCCGTATCCCCTTTATTAATAATAACTTTACGACTGAAATAACGTTGACCTAACTTGAACTATATTTTATATTTAATTATAATTTACAGTAGTCGAACGACTACTGTACGACTAATCTATACATCTATACATAATGTATACATAATTTAAATATAATTGAAGTGTCTGTCTGTAATATCGATAGAACTGCCTTTTATCACAGAATAAATAATAGTCTGTTATTAAGCTGAGAGGGTTATTTGCAAGTCGCTAAGACATGAATAACCATTTTTGTTTATTTTTCTGTATCTGTCTGTCTGCCTACATCTTTTAGAATTATTTATTTATCATTTAGAAGATGTTTTCTTCCTCGCACAACTTCCTTGTGGAATCGATTACCATCAGCGATTTTTCCGCACCGATACGACTTAGGGACCTTCAAGAAAAGAGCCTACTCCTTTTTAAGCCTGGTGTTGCAGTTGTTCATGGGCGACGGTAGTCACTTACCAACAGGTAAGCCGCATGCTCGTTTGCCCCCTCTCTTATATAAAAAAATCTTCGAAATGGCTGAACCGATTGCATAATGAAACTTCGGGAACAGATAGCGAGCAATGCTAGGAGTGATCTAGAAAAATTGATGAAAGAAATGGTCTTTGAGGATTATCTTAAATCTAAATAGCCCCATATTAATAGAGCCTTCCCAGGCGAAGTCAGAGTCGCCGTAATCTTTTATATATTTGT